CGACAGCCTCAATCAATGGCAAAATTGGAAAAAAATCCCTGAATAAATTGTGCTTAGAAAAAGCGAAAAACTGCCTACAACAGCGCAATTTCGGGAATATCTTGAAAATTGGGCATTTTTTCGGAAAACAGACTCTTGCGATAAAATAGCCGCGCGACAGCCTCAACCGCTGGCAAAATTTGAAAAAGTTCCCTGAAAAATTTGTGCCTAAAGCAAGCGAAAAACTGCCTACAACCGCGCAATTTTGCGAATATCTGGAAAACTGGGCATTTTTTCAAAAAAACTGACTTGCAAAAAAATAGTCGCTAGACATCCTCAATCAGTGGCCAAATTTGAAAGAAATCCCTCAATAAATTGTGCTTAACAAAAGCGAAAAACTGTCTACAAAAGCGCAATTTCGGCAATATCTGGAAAACTGGGTATTTTTTCCAAAAACCCGCTCTTGCAAAAAAATAGCCGCGCGACAGCCCCAATTTCTGGCAAAATTTCAAATAAATCCCTGAATAATTTGTGCTTAAAAAAAGCGAAAAACTGTCAACAGCGCAATTTCGGGAATATCTTAAAAATTGGGCATTTTTTCGGAAAAAAGACTCTTGCGGTAAAATAGCCGCGCGACAGCCTCAACCGCTGGCAAAATTTGAAAAAGTTCCCTGAAAAATTTGTGCCTAAAACAAGCGAAAAACTGCCTACAACAGCGCAATTTTGCGAATATCCGGAAAACTGGGCATTTTTTCAAAAAAACTGACTCGCAAAAAAATAGTCGCTCGACATCCCCAATCAATGGCGAAATTTGAAAGAAATTCCTGAATAAATTGTGCTTAAAAAAAGCGAAAAACTGTCTACAACAGCGCAATTTCGGCAATATCTGGAAAACTGGGTATTTTTTCCAAAAACCCGCTCTTGCAAAAAAATAGCCGCGCGACAGCCCCAATTTCTGAGAAAATTTCAAATAAATCCCTGAATAATTTGTGCTTAAAAAAAGCGAAAAACTGTCTTCAACAACGCAATTTCGGGAATATCTCGAAAATTGAGCATTTTTTCGAAAAAACAGACTCTTGCGAAAAAACAGCCGCTCGACAGCCTCAATTAATGGAAAATTTCAAAAAAATCGCTGAATAAATTGTGCTTAGAAAAAGCGAAAAACTGCCTACAACAGAGCAATTTCGGGAATATCTTGAAAATTGGGCATTTTTTCGGAAAAAAGACTCTTGCGATAAAATAGCCGCGCGACAACCTCAACCGCTGGCAAAATTTGAAAAAGTTCCCTGAAAAATGTTTGCCTAAAACAAGCGAAAAACTGCCTACAACAGCGCAATTTTGCGAATATCTGGAAAACTGGGCATTTTTTTACAAAAACCCGCTCTTGTAAAAAAATAGCCGCGCGACAGGCCCAATTTCTGGAAAATTTCAAATAAATCCCTGAATAATTTGTGCTTAAAAAAAGCGAAAAACTGTCTTCAACAACGCAATTTCGGGAATATCTTGAAAATTGGGAATTTTTTGACAAAAATAGACTCTTGCGAAAAAATAGTCTCTCGACAGCCTCAATCAATGGCCAAATTGGAAAAAAATTCCTGAATAAATTGTGCTTAGAAAAAGCGAAAAACTGACCGCAACAGCGCAATTTTGCGCATATCTGGAAATCTGGGCATTTTGTCAAAAAAACTGACTTGCAAAAAAATTGTCGCTCGACAGCCTCAATCAATGGCAAAATTTGATAGAAATCCCTGAATAAAGTGTGCTTAAAAAAAGCGAAAAACTGCCCGCAACAGCGCAATTTCGCGAATATCTTGAAAATTGGCCATTTTTTCGACAAAACGCCCTCTTGCGAAAAAATAGCTGCTCAACAGCCTCAATTGCGGACAAAATTTGAAATAAATTCCTGAATAATTTGTGCATGAAAAAAGCGAAGAACTGCCTACGACAGCGCAATATTGCGAATATCGTGAAAAATGGGCATTTTTCCGAGAAAACGCGCTCTTGCGAAAAAATAGTCGCGCAAGGGCCTTAATCGTTGGCAAAATTTCAACAAAATCCTTAAATAATTTGGCCCAGAAAAAAGCGAAAAGCTGCCTACAACATCGAAATTTTGCGATTATCTTGAAAACTGGACCTTTTTTCGAGAAAACGCCCTCTTGCGAAAAAATGGCTGCATAACAGCATCAACCGCTGGCAAAATTTGGAAAAATTCCCTGAAAAATTTGTGCCTAAAACAAGCGAAAAACTGCCTACAACAGCGCAATTTCGGCAATATCTGGAAAACTGGGCATTTTTGCAAAAATCCCAGTCTTGCGAAAAATTACGCGCTCGACAGTCTCAATCGCCGGCAAAATAAAAAAAAAATCCCTAAATAATTTGTGTATCAAAAAAGCAAAAAACTGCCTGCAACAGCGCAATTTCGGGGATATCTTGAAAATTAAGCATTTTTTCGACAAAACAGACTCTTGCGAAAAAATATCTGCGCGACAGTTTTAATAAAGGGCAAAATGTGAAAGAAATCCCTGAATAAATTGTGCTTAAAAAAGCTCGCTTGCTCGACTGCGGGTGGTTTCCGGCCGATTTTAACCTAATTTTTGGGATTTTTACGGTCTCAGAAAGAAAGTACTTACTATTAATAAATGTTTGTCGATGGATTTGGCTTTCTGGGGCTATTTCAGCATAAATCGCGTGCCAAGTCAATAAATGTTTCTCAAAAAAAAAATTGTTTCTGACTTGATTTTTTCATTTTCACCTGAAATCATCTCAGAAAGCCAAAATTGAGACTTTTCAACAAAATACTTTAGTTCCCGTCACTGTGCAGCTTCCTTCAGTTTTCGAAGCATAAGTGTCAAATTTCTCAAAAGGGACAGCAGCTGA